GGAGGACTGTCTAAGTCATCTGGGTTTTCCTCCCTGTGTTTGGATTTTCCTATTTGAAAGCAAAAAGCTCTTGACTTTCAGAACTCAAAGGGATACAGAAAAAAGCATCTTTCAAATCTAGTATTGTAAACCACTTTAAACTTTCATTTAGGGTAGTTAGAAAAGTGTAATCATTCACTACTACTGGATGTATATCTTCTATTTTATTTATAGCTCTAAGGTCCTGTACCAACCAGTAATTCCTTCCATTTTCCTTTTTGACTGGTAAAATGGTAATATTAAACTCAGGCTCACATTCTTTCAACAAGCCAAATTTCATAAATTTTCTTCAAGGGGTAATAACCTGTGACGAAATGACACACGGACCTCTGGCTTGATGGACAGAAATCCCTTTATTGCTAAGGATACAGGGTTTTTATATCCTTCACTTTCAACTGGGAGTGGTTAAGCAAATCAGGACAGAACACAGCTGCAAGTCACATATCAATCATACACATAGGTCAGCCAACCACGCAGACACCGCACACACAGACCTTGGAGTTTCAAGCTACCCACGTACGCAGCCACCTGCATGGGAAATTGCAAACCAAGAGCTCAGCTCCATTCCCTGGACAGTAAATCAAGGCTTTAGATAAACAATACAAGGTCATCTAGACATTTCCCAGGCCTCTCTGACTTTCTCCTTTCTTGTTCTCATGCTGGCTTGCTACAATAACCCCTTACAACTTTCTATTTTCAAAGGGTATTGCTTTTGCCTTACCAATCCCACTCCAGGTTTCAATTTAATTCTCACGGGTTCTGCTCCTTTGGATGACCTGGGCACCTCTCCAGCCCATACCATCGGAATCACTGCATCCTCAAGTGATATTGGCAGATGGATTATTTCTGATTTTGGATACTGCAATGTAAAAATAGAAGCTTCCACATAATTAGGCTCTGGAATAATAACCTGTATTTTGCCATTTTTAAATCCGATCTTGGCATTTTAATTTTTCTAGTAGATCTCTCCCAAGGAGAGGCTTTGGTGAACTAGGTAAATACAAAAACTGGTGAGTCATTCACTGTTTTCCTAATTTAAAATCAATGGGTTTTAAAAAAGTGGCTGAGTTTTGCGATTCCCTGTCACACCGACAATTGTTACAGAATTGTTACTAAAGTTTCCTTTTACTGTATTTAACACAGAGTAACTAGCTCCCATATCTACTAAAAATTCTACTCTTTCATTCCCCAGTTTAGCTGCAACCAGAGGTTCTGCTGGGGAAGAATCCTCCAGTCCCCCTCAGTCATCATCGGGGACGGCCATGGGAGGTTTCAGAGGGTTCTTAAGTTTCAATTGAGGACAATCCCATTTCCAATGTCCATCTTTCTTACAGTATGCCCATTGATTGATACCAAGTCTCCTGGGGGCGGAGGGGGGGATCTGAGGTAGCCTGTCCCTGCTCTAGTCCTCTTTCTCTCCCCAGGGGCACCATTCCCTTAGAGATTCCTTCCATAACTGCAACTGCTTTCGGCTTAGTTGCTTCCTGCTGATTCTCCCAACATCCAACAATGTTCCTAAATCATACTGATCTTGTCCCTTAGCTTTTTGTAATTTCCTCTGATGCCTGCTCAGCTGGTGCTAAGAAAAAATTCAGGAGCCGTTAATCGAGGGTGAGATAAGGAAAGGGTTTAATTGTGCCAAGGCAAGAGATGTTACACGACGCGCCCCGGCTGTGCCTGAGATGTTACATTTTATAACAATATCTGTCCAATCCCAAGTGTGTCCACCCTGTAACTTTTGCTCTGGTTCACCCCCTGGTCCACCCCTTAGAATTGAGTCTGGGGTGCATTTTGAGAGCCTCTCTTCATCAATCTTCTTCTTCGGGGTACAGAGAGCACAGAGTCACCCAGTTCTTTGACTCTGTTCTGCGGTTGAGGCCAAGATACAAGCGTTCCCCAAACAGAACAGGTCTTGCCTTGACAAGAGACTAAACATTTCTACTGGGTTTGGGAGTAGGATTGATATAGGATACATGGAATGGGGTAAGAGGGTTAAGGAATTTGTAAACTAAAGGGTGCTATGGGGTGGAGGGATAAGGGCTGCTGCTTTTAAAATCTACTACTTATAAAACTCATAAAGTTTTACAAAAATTAGAAAAATAAAAACTAATAGGGGCTTAAGGCATCAGTCCCCCCTTAGAGACTGGACAAAACCCAAAGGTCTCGTCCAATCTCTACCTACACCTACAACAACTATAACATCTGTACATGCAGTGAGCTATTATGCTAACACTAAGTATGTACAATACTAGAATAAACAGTTGTTTCATCCATGTCCAATTCGGCAACCATAAAGTGAGTTTGTGGAGGACATCTCCTAAACCCAGGGAGACATCATCCAGAGATATTTCGTGTAAGATTTTGGTTTGATTTCGAATTGCAACCAAATCATTATTCTACCAGTCTGGTCTATGTAAGAGCAGCAACTGGTGTTGATAACTTTACACACGCCTCCCTGTGAGGCTAACAAGAAATTGAGGGCCATTTGATTTTGTACCACTACATGAGACAAGCTTTGGAATTGTTCTTTTAGGGCTTCAATTGCATCCAAAGTGTGATCTTGAATGTCTTCCATGACAGCTGAAATGTTTACAATTGCTTTCTCCAATTCACTCACTCCTAGAGATGGGACTAAAGCTCTGACTATGCTGTGGAAAATTGTAGGGTGCTCAATAAGGGGATTGTTAGTTCTTTTCACCCTTTTTGGATAGGGTTTTTCCCATTCCTCTTCATCAATTGGGTCGAGAATTGTTATATGGGATCACTGCCCCTAGGGCACAGGCCCGATCTTTATCAAGGGGCAAAACTTTCCAGGCCTCCTTTCCACAAATCCAATACCATCCTGAACCCTGGGGAGGAGTTAATCTCAAAGGGAACTGTGCCATCCCTGCAACAATTTCTGGGTTTATCCCTTCTTTTGAATTGTTTTTATCACAGTAGGGGGGAAGAATGATTTTTCCTGTAGCGTTTACAATCATGCAGGGAACAACATCCTGATTAGAAATTACATTACTTAGGGCCACCGGATAATAAGCCTCTGTAACTGGCTTCCAGGTCCCTGGGAAATTTATCATGGACTTATCAAAGTTTGTCCCATTTAGTAAAATGCCAATTACGGGTCAGTCACTATCCTCATCATCAATTGCTGGTACTTGCGTACAAATCCAGCATTCAGTTTTCCGAAGTATTTTTGACACATTTTGGACTAGGGCCACATGCATTTTTTGATCCCAAACTCGGTTCATATTTACCGGTTGCATGAACAAGATACACAGCACAAACAGTCTATGCCACATCTTCTTCGTTGGTGTCCAGTTCTGATTGGCTGGTTGTTCCGGGAGCTGGTGCTCTTTTGACTCTGGAATAGTGGAACCAGGGTTCTCTGCCAGCAACTTTGACGGCGGTGAGGGAAGTCAGCAGGACTTGGTATGGTCCTCTCCACTTGGCTCGCAAGGGGTCACTGTTCCACCACTTGACGTAGACCCAGTCTCCTGGTTGGAAGGGATGAGCAGGGGTGTCCAGTCCTATGGGTCTGGATAACTCGATGACCTTCTGGAGCTTCTGCAAAGTAGAGCCTAAAGCAATCAAATATTTTTGTAAATCGGTTCTCCCTCTTATGTGTACATCCCCTGGTATGTGTGGTGCCTGATATGGTCTTCCATACAGTATTTCATATGGACTTATGTTATCCCTCTGCCTTGGTTGAATACGAATCCTCAGCAGAGCTAGTGGCAAAGCTTGAACCCACGACATAGATGTTTCCTGACAAATTTTGCTAATTTGCATTTTCAGAGTACCATTCATTCGTTCAACTTTGCCACTAGCCTGAGGTCTATAGGGGGTATGTAGGTCCCAGACAATTCCCAGGATGCGGCATACTTCTTTCACTATTGTCGCAGTAAAATGTGTTCCTCTATCTGATGACATTCCTAGAGGAACCCCAAACCTTGGAATTATGTGGTTAAGTAAAGCTTTTACCACTTCCCTCGCTGTGTTAGTGCGTCAGGGGTATGCTACAGGCCATCCACTGAACGTGTCAACCAACACAAGTATGTATTTATACCCCCCCCATGGTGGTAACTCATCAAAATCTATTTGCCAGTAATCTCCGGGTTGGTCTCCAGCCTTTGTTACCCCTAGTACCACTCTCTTTGTTGCATCTGGGTTATTTCGCTTACAGATTTCACACTTACCTACTATGGACTGTACAGCTTCAGTCATACCTGTCCCTATTACTGTTTTCTTTAGGTGTTTTAGAAGGTTTTCCGCTCCCCAGTGGGTAGCCTCATGTTCCTGTTGAGCTATTTCCCTAAGGAGCGGTGGTGGAACTATAACCTGTCCTGTAGGGGTAAAAGCCCAGCCCCCTTCCTTGATCTCAGCTTTCAGTGATTTAATTAGCTGATTGTCTTTCTCATCATATTTAGGGGTGTATTTTGTTAAGTCAATTTCTCTTTGTGGTACTACCGCTAGGATGCCTTTTTCTGCAGCCCCTTTTGCTGCTTGATCAGCAAAATGATTTCCCAACTCGGGAGTTGTTTTCCCCTTTTGGTGGGCTCTGCAATGCATAATAGCTACCTCTTCCGGTTTCCAAATACTCTGCAGGAGTGCATGGATTTGGTCTGCATGCTTGACTCCACTGCCTTGGGCTGTCAGTAGTCCTCTCTCTTTCCAGATGGCTCCGTGGGCATGTACAACACTAAATGCATATTTTGAGTCAGTCAGATATTTACCTTCTTTCCTTTGCTCAGTTCCAAGGCTCTTGTCAGCGCGATTAGTTCTGCCTTTTGGGATGACACATCTGCTGGTAAGGCCTTTGCCTCGATCACTTCATCTCTGGTCGTCACTGCATACCCTGTGAAGCGCTTACCATCTCACATGAAGCTGCTTCCGTCTGTATACAGTTCCCAGTCTGTATTTTCCAGAGGCACATCCTTCAGGTCTGGTCTGCTGGAGTAAGTCTCTTCTACAGTCTGTAAAAAGTCATGCTCAGGGACACTGTCGGTTAGTGTTGAGGACAGAAACATAGCTGGATTTACAATAGATGTTGTTTTCAAAGTAACATCGTCCTGTTCCAGCAACACAACCTGAAACTTAAGCATTCTGCTGGGGGACAGCCAGTGGCCTCCCTTTTGTTCAAGCACGGCTTGAACTGCATGGGGTACATACACGGTGATATGCTGCCCACGGGTGAGCTTCCGGGCCTCTTCAATCAGGATAACAGTTGCTGCTACAGCTCGCAGGCACCCCGGCCACCCTTGGCTAACACTGTCCAGCTGTTTAGAGAAATAAGCCACGGCTCTTCGTTGGCTTCCCAGAGTCTGCGATAATACCCCCAGAGCAACATTCAACTGCTCATGTGTGAACAGTTCAAAAGGTTTAGTTAAATCTGGTAATCCTAGTGCTGGAGCTGACATCAAGGACTGTTTCAGTTGTTTAAACACATCTCTGGTCTCATCTGTCCATGTTACAACTCCTTCTTTGGCCATTTTCAGGGATTCATACAGAGGTTTGACTAGCAACCCATAGTTAGCTATCCACAGCCGACACCATCCTACCATTCCCAGGAAGGCCTGCATCTCTCGTACAGTGTGGGGCTCTGGGAGACGGCAAATGGCCTCTTTTTGGTCTGTACTGAGTCGCCGATGCCCACGATAGATTTCAAGCCCCAGGTAGATGACTATCTCTTTGGCTATTTGTGCCTTCTCTCTTGAGACCCGATACCCACTTAGCCCCAAAAAGTTCAAGAGACTTACAGTGAGCTCGATGCACTGGTCCCGGGTCCTGGTTGCAATTAAGATGTCATCTACATACTGCAGGGCAACTCCTTGCTGCTGTCTTCTCCAGTCCTCCAGGTCTTTTGCCAACTGGTTCCCAAAAATTGTCAGGCTGTTCTTAAAGCCTTGTGGAAGAACTCTCCAGGTTAGTTGCGTTTTCCTCCCTGTCTCAGGATTTTCCCACTCAAAGGCAAAAATTTCTTGGCTGTCTTTATGTACAGGAATGCAGGAAAAGGCATCTTTAAGATCAAGTACAGTGAACCATCCTAAATCCTCTGTCAATGTGGTTAACAGTGTATAGGGGTTGGCTACCACCGGGTAGATGTCCTCAGTTATTTTATTGATGGTCCTAAGATCTTGGACTAGTCGATAGCTTTTGCCATCAGCCTTTTTCACTGGTAGGATGGGGGTATTAAATCTGGATTCACATTCCACCAGTAAACCAAATTTAAGAAACCTTTCAATTATAGGTGCTAAGCCTTTTCGGCTTTCTAGTTTCAAAGGATATTGGTTTTGCCTTACCGGGACTGCTCCTGGCCTGAGTGTGATGCTTACTGGTTCAGCTTGCTTTGACTTCCCAGGGTACTCGTTGGCCCAGACTAAAGGTATGACAGCATTTTCAACTTCTGCAGGGATCTCTCCATGATTTTCCTGTATAAAGAAAGCAGCTGCCTCGATATATTTAGTGTCTGGAATTATAACTTTTATGTCTCCCCCCTTGCTGAATTTAATTTCAGCTTCTAATTTTTCCAGTAAGTCTCTACCCAATAAAGGCCTAGGAGAATTTGACATCTAAAGAAATTGATGAGTTACCCAGTGCTTGCCCAATTTAAATTTCAAAGGTTTAAAAAATGGCCTTGTTTCACTTACCCCTGTAGCACCTACCACAGTTATAGTTTCATTTCTGAGTTTCCCTTCCACAGTATTTAACACAGAATATGCTGCACCTGTATCAACCAAGAACTCAACATCCTCCCCCCCCAGCTTAGCTTTGACCAGAGGCTCTGCTGGGGAAGAAACCTCCGGTTCCCTTCATACATCCTGACTCACAGTCAGCTGGGGGGCTGGTGGTGGAGGGGGGAGAGGATTTTCAGTTTTCCTCAGTTCCAGGCAGTCTTTTCTCCAATGTCCTTTCTTTTTACAATAAGAGCACCTGTCATCTGTTATGTCCTGCTGACGATTAGACCTGTGATACCTGTGGTTACGCCTATGATGCTCTCGATAGCCACCTTCTAGTTCCATCACCCTCATTCTCTTTTTCTGCTCCCTATTTCGATATACCGTCCAAGCTATATCTAATAGATCACCAATATCCTTCTTATCACCACCTGCTTTTTGCAGTTTTCTTCTTATGTCATCTGTGGACTGCCCTACAAATAAATACACCAGATTTTTCTTTCCCAGATCTGACTCTATGTCTATGTCGGTATATTTCCTAACATCCTTCAACCTGTTTAGAAAGTCTGTGGGTGATTCATTGGTGTCTTGTTTAACCTCGTACATTTTGGACCAGTTTATTGCCTTCGGAACTCCATGCCAAAATCCATAAATTACCCAGTCCTGATACCGTTTCAGTGCTTCCAAACTTGCTGGTACGTTAGGATCCCATTTGGGATCATCAGGGGGGAAGATGTCCTTAATATCTTCCCCTGGAAATTGCCCAGAGGATTTTAACATTTCAATTGCAGTTCGAGCAGTTCTTTTTACCATCTCCTTCTCTGTTTGATCTAATAATGTGTCCATTATAACTTCCAGGTCATACCAGTCAGGGTTCTGAGTTTTGATTGCTCTTTGCGCATAGTTTGCCACTTTGTCTGGGTTATCTCTATATGCCCCTACAGAATCCTTCAATTGCTGTAACTCGACCAGTGAAAAAGGAACCTTTATTAATACTGTGCCCTGATTGGTCACAGCTTGTCTTAAGGGGGCTTCTAACGGTGGCTTATCCTTTGCTCTTGTTCTACCTGCTATCGGGTCGGGGGCAGCTAACGCTTCACGGGCCCTCTTCCCCTTTGTTTTTGGTCTTACTACAGGTGGGTCTTCTTCCCCTTCCCCCGAGCTGTCACTTGATTCGCCCTCTGCTTCCGTGTCCTGATCAAACGGTGGTAAACCTCGCTTCTGCCTTCTCTCAGCAGCTGAAACTAGCTTGCCCTGTCTCTGCGTCTCTGTTCTCTCTTCATGAGAGGCAGAGATTGGAAACTCCCTCCGTTCCTCTTTCTTTCCCCCGCCCGTAAAGGTGGGCTGCTCCCCCTCGGCAGGGGGAAGCGTGGGAAAGGGGGTGGCTCCAGCCCCACCCCCCAGGTCAGTCAGGAAAGAGGCCCCGCCTGTCAGCACCACCCCTGCCCCTCCCGGAATTCCAGGGGTTGTTCCTGCTATCGCTCCTGGGGCTCCTCCACCCGCTGCCACTGCAGCCGGGGCTGGCCCCAGCCCTGTTACTCCCGCAGTGCCTGCTCCTGTTCCCGTTGCTATGGCAGCAGATCCTGTGCTGACCGTGCCCGGAGCGGCTCCCGTCGCCCCCGAGCCAACTCCTCCGGAGGCTCCAACTTGTCCGATTCCCCCGGCGCAGCCATACCCACACCAGGGAGCCATCCCGCGGCTCCCGCCTGCCCAGCTCCCCCAGTGCCTGCAGGAGCCGGTCCAGGAGCCGCCATTCCTGCAGCTCCAGCCCCCCCTGCTGCCCCTGCAGCGGGGAGTCCAATCCGCCCAGCCTCCGGGCTACCTTCTCTCCTGTCAGGTGATATTAACACATCTAAATCATCTTCTCCGGTGTTTTTAAATAAAATTTGTGGGACAGGAGCAACCTTAACTCGATCTTTCCTTTTCCCTTTTCCTAAAGCCATTTTTGATTTTTCCGTCTCTCCTGAACTTTCGTTCCTCTTATCTCCTACCCCCAATTCAGGGTGTGTTAATAAAAACAAAAACAGCTCTGCATATCGAATTTCCTGCCACCTCTGTTCTACATGAGGAAGCGAGATTAACCGAAACACTATGTCCAGTTCAAACGGACCAAATTCCAGCCACGCTACCCCTCTCATTTGTCCAAACAACGGCCATGCATCCACAGACAGCCTACACAGTTCTTCCTTTTTTAAAGTTGTCTCAGAACCAGTTAAAGTCTTCCAATGTTTTAAAACCAGGCTCAGGGGGGATTCTTTAGGGATCTTAAATTTTGAATCCACACAACCCATGATTGCAAAACACAAACAGACCACAACCACACACCGGGATTCAAACTTGCTACCTTGGGGTTACAAGGTTGTTACAGTAACCTCTCCGCTATTGTTCCGAGTCACACTGACTCTCAGAGCCTCCACCGGCTCTCCCCACAGCGTCAGAGCACACCGGAAGGCATCCCTTCCAAACAAAAAAGCCCTAGGCTGAAAACCGCCCCGACCTGGGTGGGCGGACTTCCCGTCCGCTGACTGGAAAGCGACTCCCGCGACTATGAAGGGCCCAAGTCTTAAAGTTAACTTTCCAGTCCCCCGTGTTCCCTACCTCCCGGGAACACAAAACTTTCCCGCAGCTACTAACTAAACCAGGTACCTTTTTCCCTTATTTTGCCTTTTCTTATCTCACCTCTATGTTCCGTGCTTGCTTCCGTGGGTTCTGTGGAGCTGGGCTTCTCAGACCAGGGCGGGAATTATCTCAGATAAAAGCCAACTTGATGAGGAATTCCTGCACGATGAAAGTTTCCAGTCTGAAGAAGTTCCAGTCCAGGTTTCCCCGTTTGGGCCAACAGCTGATGCCTGCTCAGCTGGTGCTAAGAAAAAAGTCAGGAGTCGTTAATCGAGGGTGAGATAAGGAAAGGGTTTAATTGTGCCAAGGCAAGAGATGTTACACGACGTGCCCCGGCTGTGCCTGAGATGTTACATTTTATAACAATATCTGTCCAATCCCAAGTGTGTCCACCCTGTAACTTTTGCTCTGGTCCACCCCCTGGTCCACCCCTTAGAATTGAGTCTGGGGTGCATTTTGAGAGCCTCTCTTCATCAGTCTTCTTCTTCGGGGTACAGAGAGCACAGAGTCACCCAGTTCTTTGACTCTGTCCTGCGGTTGAGACCAAGATACAAGCGTTCCCCAAACAGAACAGGTCTTGCCTTGACAAGAGACTAAACATTTCTACTGGGTTTGGGAGTAGGATTGATATAGGATACATGGAATGGGTTAAGAGGATTAAGGAATTGTAAGCTAAAGGGTG